TTTTTACTTAAAGTTGCTTTAGAAAATAGTTAAAAAATTACCTCAAACAAAGCCTAAGAGTCTAAGAAGATTGTGACTCTTTTAATTTTATTGAAGTTAAATGTTTTTAATCTCAAATTTGAAGATTAATGGAGATTTTTGGAGTTTGATTATTTCCATTAACTTGATTTTTTATTGCTAAACTTTTTTTTTTTCACAAATTTATTTTGTATTACATTTGAAAGTTTTTGATATTCAAAAGAAAATCTCAAAATAACTTCTATGAAATATGAATATCTTATTATTTTCTATTTAAATAGCTTCATCATTTGTATTATAATCCTAACAAAATTATATTTAAAATAATATAGGAGAATTAATCTTCTAATCATATTAAATCTTCATAATTATTTTATTTTTTTATACATATAAAAAAATATGCCTTAATATTGATCATATCTTTTTATGATATTTAGTATAAAAACTATAAAAAATAATAATAATAATAATAAATTAATAATATTTTAAATAAAAACTATTTACAAAATATATTAAAATCCACATAGTATTTATTCATCCATTACTAACAATCATGAGGAACAATTTGCTCCAAAAATTGAGAGAAGGCTACTCTCCCCTTCCTCTATTTCATAAATTGTCATTTCCAATGCTGCCCATTCAAATCATCTATTGTAACGTTACGATCATTATTAAACCGGCCAGGCGAAAAGACATAAAACACCCTCAAACCAGCCCGCTAGCATCCGACCCGGTCTTAGCGGAGGTTGTTCCCGACAACGGATCCATATCCCAAACAGCACGCGCATGAACCGGGATTCGGCCCGGGCCCACGCAAGTGCCATTTTCGTAGTTTTATAACACACCAAGCCCCTTTTCCCAGCCGACTTTTTCTATATTACCTCCTCCCTTCCCATCCCTTTCCATTCATTCCAACGGTCTTCTTCTTTCGCTTTCCTCCTCCTTTTCTGATTAAAACAGAGTATTTTAGCAGATATGGGAGATGCTCTATCTGAGATCTTTGAAGAACCAGAAAATCTGTTCAGCATGTTGGAATCATTAGAGGATGTTAATGGAGATGTGCTCTCCTTCTCTATGTTTGAAGAAGATGTGTTAAATACTAAAGGGAAGGACGAGGAAGAAGTGGTAAAAATGGCTTCTCAAAACTCAAATTTTCTGAACGTTAGAAGGCCGCGGCAAGAGGCTGATGAAGAGGAGGAAGAAGAAGGTGGTGAAAAGAGGAAGAAGATGAAGTTGAGTGAACAAGCGGGGTATTTGAATGAGGGGCAAGAAGGCCAGCCTAAAATGTCACATATTACAGTGGAGAGGAATAGGAGGAAACAGATGAACGAGCATTTGGTGGTGCTGAGGACTCTCATGCCTTGTTTCTACGTCAAAAGAGTAAGGTTTTTTTTGGTGCTCAATAGTACTTTTATTCTTAGTTTTTCAAAAATTTTCCTTAAAAATTATACTTGCTAGAGAAATATTGTATCAAAATATAATAATTAGTTTTTATACTTATTTTAAGATGAATATAATATATAAGAAATCTATTATTTATTATATTATATCATATTAATTCAAAATAAATCTTATAATTTTTAATCAAATGTTTATTAATATATATTGACTCTCACACAATATTTTCTCCACACTTGGCTGAGATCCTCTTAGTTAGGTTATTGGTAATAGATTTTTTTTTTTTAATAATGGTTCCCCAACGTTTCACACATGGATATTCAATGTAGTTTTAATATTATTTTTTTTAAAAAGGCATAATATTATTTAATTTATAATTTATTATTCAAAGATAATATGGAAAATATATTCACTTTTAGAATATATAATATTTATTTTTCTTCCAGAATAAGTTTATTAATTACAAGCAAAATTTTTTTTAAAAAGTTTAATTTTTTAATAAATTGAATAATTGTTTATTATTTTTAAATATAGTTTTTCAAAAGCTGGTTTTTATTTCTACTAAAATAATGTGCTTTTAAATTCCAACAACACTCGGACGCTCTTTATAACTAAATAAGTACAACAATACACTTATGACGCTGATTGTTCAAATATATATATAAGAGTACGATAATATTAATTTATGCAGCATTATTATAGCATAGTTCTTCCAAATAAAAGCAAATTCATAAGAAAAATTAAAAGAAAAAAAATCTTTTTATCATAACTTAAATTTGTATAAGAAGATAATCCTCATCAATATTTACCAGATTTTGATTTATGAATGTGTAAAATAATATAGGGGGATCAAGCATCCATCATAGGAGGTGTTGTGGACTACATCAAAGAGCTACAACAACTCCTTCACTCACTTGAAGCCAAAAAGCAAAGAAAAATCTACAGTGAAGTCCTCAGCCCTCGCCCTCTTTCCAGTCCTCGGCCTCTCTCTAGTCCCCGGCCGCCGCCGAGCCCTCGCCGGCCATCTCCTCTCTGTAGCCCTAGAGTTGCCATAAGCCCTAGAACTCCACAACCAGGAAGTCCTTACAAGCCAAGCAATAAGTCACAGCAAAGCTACGTTGTTTTATCTCCATCAATGGCTTCCTCACATGAATCTACAGCTTCATTGGAGGCTAACACAGGAGAACTTTTGGCTAATTATAAAAGTAGTAAGGTTGCTGATGTGGAAGTCAAGTTTTCAGGGCCTAATGTGCTGTTGAAGACAGTCTCACATCGCATTCCAGGTCAAGCTCTGAAGATAATTACAGTTCTTGAAGGACTTGCTCTTGAGATACTTCATGTGAGCATTAGCACCACCGAGGATACTATGCTGTTTTCTTTCACCATCAAGGTGTGACATTCATGGCCCTCTCCTCTCTCTCTCTCTCTCTCTCTCTCTCTCTCTCTCTCTCTAAATATTACAAGTTCAAATTATAATTATATTAGTGTATCTAAATATAATTTTATTATTAGATAGTAATATAATTTTTTTAACATGGAAACTATTAAAAGCAAGAATTTGTTGTTCTTTTTGAAACTGCAACTATTATATATATATATAATCTCTCTAAATATTACAAGTTCAAATTATTTATAATTATATTAGTGTAAATATAATTTTATTATTAGATAGTAATATAATTTTTTTAACATGGAAACTATTAAAAGCAAGAATTTGTTGTTCTTTTTGAAACTGCAACTATTATATATATATATAAACAAATCAAGAGGGTGAGGGTCACCATCAACCTCTAATACTATGCTGTTTTGTAAAAGTTAAATAAAGATGATATAAAAAATAAAAGAGAGATGTTTAACCCTAATAGATCTTCTTATTACACGTAGCCAATGCTATTATAAATTAAATCGTCGCTTACTTAATCACAGTCACGATAAATTCTCTTAGAAACTTCTCTAATATATAATTTCTCCTTAGGAAAGTCTGTCGGCCTTGAAAGACACATCACTCAGGCCAACTCTTTTCCTCTTAGGACTGTGTATCTTCTTTGGCATCTTTCAAGCACGCCACCCAAGGCCATTTAAAAGCATTATCGACAACTCAAACACATCATAGTATTGGAGTACATACAATAAAATTTTGGCACTCCATTAAAAGCAAATGTCCTAAAGTTAAGATGTCTACATATTAGTATTCCAATCTTCTATATTAATACATGTTATGATATATTCCGACCCATCATATCATCATCAATATATTAAAGAATGCTAACATCTATAATCTTATGTCCTCATTTAGAAAGATTATTGTGTGCGGCATCCGAACCGTCCGGAGGTGAATCCGGAGCTGCCACGTCACCCGGATGCATCGGGCCCCGGATGACGTGCCGCTTCCGGATTCATCTCTGGACGAATCCGGACGCCGTAAGAAATTATTTCCCCCTCAATTGACCGCTATGATAATATTTAACTTGAAACTAAAATATAACACTTTATAAATACCATCATTAGGATATTTTGAGGTTTATGCATTGTAGTTACACAACTACAAACTCACATATATGTAAGCATTTATGAAGGCATACAAGGCTGGTGATCATATTAAGAATTCATTGAATGCTCTAGGTTTTCTCTCTTTCTTCCAACATGTTGTCGCTTGCTTTTTTACTTTTCTTAGGAGGTTTTGTCTCTTGCTTGAGAGCTCAATATTTGTACTAGGTTCTTCTGAGATAGTAAACATAAGTTGATGTAGGTCTTTCGAACAAACCATTATAAATCCTTATCCTCCATTATGATTTCTTTCTCTTTATAAAGTAATATGAGTATAGTACTTTCCTTATTTATCTCCTATATAGGAACTATTGAAATTATTATAATGTCATCCCAGCTACTCAGGTGGTAGTGAGAATATTAAACTTAAGGATTTAATCTTGTCTTTAAACTTTAAGTTCTTGGAGTTCAACTTTCTCGCAAAAAAGTTGAACTTTTTGATGTGAATGATGTTCATTCTAACATCTTAAGATTAAAAAAAAAAAAAATCGCTCATTAAATGCACCTTATTGATTGTAGAGAGCCTTAGATTATCAATGAGTATTATAATGAAGCATAATATAAGAAAATACTTATTTTATATGATTGGTCCAATAATACTCAAATCTTATTTTTCTATAAATTTGTTCTTACTCTTCATAATCAATTAATAATATATTTATCCCATTTAATAATCGATGGTGCTCTTTAGTACATAAAATTATCTATATACTTCTTTCATCATCAAAAGTTTCAGACATCAAAATATATCCATTTTTATCTTCTCATCCTTCATATATGGATCTAAAAATTTTTGGAACTAGGAATTATATACCTATTGTTAGAATATATATAGTAATAAAACATCAAACAAATACAAAAGAGATCACAAATTTATACGCCTTGATGAGATCTACTTATGTCTATGGTTTCCTATAAATTGAATAAATTACTAAACTTGATTGCAATTCATACATGGAAAATAATTTACTAAACTTGCAACGTGTCTTTCTTCTTGAAGAAACTAAAGATCTCATCCATATAAGCATCTTTAAAAAAACCCGGCTTTTATTCTCTTGATTAGTAATCTTTACCTCTCTCTCTCTCTTCAAGATTTTTATATTAATATAAGATATCTAACATTTTCTATATGATATAAAAAATGAATAAGTCAAAAATTTAAATTTCAAATGAAAATTCAATTATTTTTTTAGAATACTTTATGTCAAAAAACTATTAGCTCCACATAATCATCATATGAATGACATTATATCTAAGAAAAAATCAATATAATAAGAGTTGGTGGGAGAGTATCACATATTTCAATAATTTTCTTAATGATTTCATTGAAAATATACTAACTTGAATCAATTAAAAGAATATTTCTCTACTTAAAATTCAAACTATATATTTCTTGTCTGCCTTCTTAAAGGCTTTAACCAAGAATATATTGAAGAAGATGTCTAGGGATAAATTCAAAATAGTAAAGTTTATATGGAACTGTTCAGAGATATGTATTTATATATATATATTTATGATAGTAATATGTAAATTTTTTGCTTCAAAAAGAAAAGAACAGAAAGAAAAAAAGATACCAATCTCTAAAACTGTAAGCAGGTCTCTTGAAGGCCTGTGATTGATTGCTGTATTTTTAGCAGGCCAGTATTTATTAAACAACCATGTACTGGTGAAGATGGTCAAAAAAGCTGTGAGGCTTTTACTGTACTGTTCTGGTAACTTAAAGTCACAAATTCCAAGGAGGGATGTGGGTAATAAAGCCATGTATACTATATTGCAGAGCTTGTTATCTTCAAACAAAAAGCTAATAATTACCAACAAAAATACAGACAATATTAGTGTGAGTAATTAGGCAAATTAATTCTTCATTATTGGCTAAATCTTCATTATTAGTCTCATCTAAACTGTATGATGTTAGTCTATTTGAATATTTTCAGACTCAACATAAATATTATTTGGTATCTAGCCAGAAATTTGAGCCAAAATCATTTTTTTAATCAAATAAGGCTATTCTTAGTGAGGATAAAATTCTTAATCATATAAGAATTAATGTAATAATCAAGATTTATTATAATATATGACTAAAATATTAAAATTATGATTAAATCATTTTAAAGCATATTTATCTATAAAAATAAAACTAAAAATAATATTTCATCACTTAAAAAGAATCATTAACACACCAAACATATTTTTTTTGTATTTTTTGTTATTTTATTTTTGTGATATTTTATTTTAATATTAATAATGAAAAAAATTAAATGAAAAATAATTATATTAAAATATTTTGATATTCTTTATATCCAAAGAAGACAATAATTAAATGTTGAAGATAATTAATTACTTAAAATTAAATGACATTTAAATTATTTTTCTAGTAAAACAAAAATATTTTATTCTATTAAAAATTTAAAATGACTTAAATTTTATGCAAATACCACCTATTCTATACTATTTTACCGTTTCATGCTATATAAATTAACATATTAGAATATCCCAACTCCTAAATACAAGCTTCATAATGATCAGCTTAATGTTTCGTTTGAGATTGTTTTTTATTACTTTTTAAAATAATTTTCTAATAAAAAATATCAAAATTAAAAAAAAAAATTATACTAAAAAATTGCTTTAGAAAATATTAGGAAAGCCACCCCAAATGAAGCCTAAAATATACCCAATAAATTCATAAAAACTTTTCAAATTTGCAACTTTGTTTTTAGACCTCATATTAGTTGTGATAGTTGATATAGAAATCAAATGATTGATATAATCAGCTAATTCTTTGATTATTTGCATGAACTGATCTACAGATTGGAATAGAGTAAAACTTTTCAAATTTGCAACTTTGTTTTTAGACTTCATATTAGTTGTGATAGTTGATATTGAAGTCAAATGATTGATATAATCAGCTAATTCTTTGATTATTTGCATGAACTGATCTTCAGATTGGAATAGAGTGTGAGCTCAGTGCAGAAGAGTTGGCAAATGAAATTCAACAGACATTCTCTTGAGATAGGTGAGGAAGCTACAGAATCAAATTTCCTGACACTAATTCCATTGAGAGCTTAATTTCAAATCGGTTTAATTGTCTCTCAAATTGCAATGGAAAAGGTATTGAATGCAGAGATGAGAATGTGGGAGGCACCTTAAATCTAGTCCAATTGTAGTTACAAAATGACTTGCTGTAACCTTTTAGTTGTAATAACCTATGAAGCTATGTTGAACTGCTTCATATTTGAATTATGTAATTGGTTGAATCCTTCTTTGTCGATTTTTAAGTTAATTTAGTGATGTTTGTTTGTTTTCCAAATCAAGTGTTCAGCTTTACTCATTTGGAAGAGACATGTGTAATGTAGGCCGTTCTATCTCAGAGTGAACAATTATGATTATGAGGCATCCAAACTGAAATGTATCCTCCAAATTTGAGGGGAAGAAACTCTATTTTAATTATGATGTTGGTTGTGAGATTTATGAAAATTGTATTAATAAATTATTTGTAGGGCTGCGAACACAAACAAGAAAGAGAAAATGAAGCGGAGAAAAAAAAGCACGAGGATTTAACTTGGAAAATCCGAAACCGGGAAACAGCGAAGCCACACCACTCCAAGTAATTCACAATAAAAATATGGGAGGAATAATAAAGATATCACTTCTCTCTCACTCTCTCCTTATCTCTCTTCCCCCCTTTGCACCATTCTCTTATAAACAAATAAAAAGAAACAAAATAAAAATCATTAAAGGACGCAATTCTTCATGAATAATAAGAAAGGAAACTGTCAAGTCTGCCTCGGAGCGTCATGACGCTCAATTCTCTGTCTCCAGCCTATTTGATAGCGCCTCAACCTCGGGATTCGAAGCGCCGCAGTGCTCGGCTCTCTGTTTATCTCTAACCAGACAATACAACACCATAGCACTGTATGACTATGCGGGAAAAAAAAATTCCTTTGCAGGGGAAGAGAGATGAGGAGAGAGCGAGCACCGGGACCCGAAGAGCTCGACCGACGGAATTGAGGTCCAAGGTTGCAGTACAACCCGATAAATTGACATAATTGTTAGCCACCGTACACGTGGCATCTTTTCCTCAGTTCTATTTTGTACCGTTACACTTCTTGTACATTGGTTTAATACTTAATCTCTATATAAGTAGGACTGTAACCTTTTAGAAAATTAATGAGAAGTTTTATTTTCCTGTTTCTTACTCCTCTAGTTATGCTTCTTGAAAGCTCTGCCCCTTCTCATCTTCCTCTCTAGTTTGTCTCATTCTACAATAATCAGATTCCACACAAAACTAACATTGTTAATAATTAATTGAACATTAATAACATTTAGGATATCAATTGCTAGAGGTGATCAGTCGAATAGTGGGCATTGAACTGGAAAGACTGAAGAGGGATAATATTTTATAGCGTTTGGAGATTATAAACAAGCTATTAGATGCCACTTTAGTTGAATAGAATTTTGAGAAGGTCGATTTTCACTATATAGTGGTCGAGAGCTTTAAAAAGGGGTGATGGGCTTTGGCCTTTACTTAAGAATGTGAAGCTTATGGCGTTGATCTATTCTGCTTAAGTTGATTAGTGGGGCTTAAGATGTGATGAGGGCTTTTCTACGTTGAGTTCAAGATGTGGTTTGGTGACAAAAATAAGAAAATATGATTTTTAAGGAGAGTTTTAAGTGTATAGCGGTTGTGTACAGATAAGATGATAGCCTTAAAAAAAAAACAGAGAGAGAAAGCTCATAAAGAAACAGTGGAGGAACACCATATCACAAGAGGTGATAAAACAATAAAAGAAAAACAACAAACAAATTAGATAAAGCACTATAAAATATAAGATAAATTTAATCTCATCAAAAGAAGGAAGAGATGAGAGACAACAAGTTAAAAGTTTAATGACAAGATTAAAGCCTCAAGTTTATTCGTTATGGCCCAATGCCTGCAAAGAAAGCTAAATTAGCTTTATTGAACAAGCCATCTAAATGGGTGGTGGTTCAAAGACAATTTAAATAGTCTACAAGAAAAGTATGGTGATAAAAGCAAAATGCTTAAGGTTCATAAAAAAAATAAAAATAATAATAATAACTATTGAATGTTTGAAAGCAATAACAGAAAAAAGGGGATGGAACCAAACAATAATGTTATGTATTTACAAATCTAAGCTTGCATGCTTTAAGATTTAAGATTGATATAAGAAGCAAAAGAAAAAATTTAACATTAGTATATTTTAAAATTTCTTTAAGAAGCAAAAGAACATTTTAAATGATGATGATGTAGTAGAAGAAGAAAAGGATTAGTATATATATATTTATTTATTTATTTTTAAGAATATCTCTTGTTTTAGCTTAACAATCTTCTAACTGTTATTGTAAAAATGGTCATTTTATATTCGTTTAAAGTTAAATTCATGATTCTAATTAATCTCTTATTTGCCTTTGGAAAGATTTTCAAATCAAAATTAGCCTTGATTTAGGAGGCGTTAATAGCTCATTATTGTAATTGATTAGAGAATAAACTATGTTCCTAATTAAGTTGATTTGATTGAATATTTGATTGATGCATTAATTAGGACATCTAATTATTGCATTAATTAGATATTTGATTGTAGATTTGTTTGATTGCATTAATTAGTGGGTCTAATTATTGCATTAATAAGAGATTTGATAAGGATTATATTATAAAGCTTTTTTCTAATTTACTTTAACTCAAATCTATAAATAGAGCCCTGGGGGCTGCTGTTGAATGTAAGGAATGAGAGGAAGAGAGAGCTCATTGTAATTTCTTATTGTTCTCCAATATAGTGAAATCATCTTCCCCTCCATGTGGATGTTGGCATCGTCGTTGAACCACATAAATTGTCGTGTTTCTTGTGTTTGTGTTGTGTGATTTTTTTATTTTTGTTTTCGTTGTAATTGTTTACACAACTATTGGTATCAGAGCTGGATTTTTGTGGGATTTTCAGCGGAGGCTTGGAGAGTTTGACAAAGGTTCTGTTCATCCGTTTGGAACGAAGGTTCTGTTCAATCATTGGGAGCAGAAAGGAGCTGGAATGGTACAATTGTTGTCAGCACAAGACAACTGCAATTCTGTGGAGGCTATGAGATCCAGTGGAGCTACGGATACATCCACTTCATCGATGGAGAAGGCGTCGATTCATCAGGTGATTACATGTCCCGACAAAATTGATGTGATGAAATTTGATGGCAAAGGAAACTTTGGCATGTGGCAATGTGAGGTGATGGATGCACTATGCTCTTTGAATATGGAGGATGTTCTGGATGCCGATAAATGTCCTGAAGAGATGTCTGAAAGAGATTGACTCAAGATGAACTAGAGTGTTTGTGGCTTGATCAAAAATTGCCTGTCTCAAGAGATAAAGTATGGGGTAATGGTGGAAACTTCTGTTGTAAAGCTGTGGAAGACTTTGGAGAACAAATATCTAACGAAGAGTGTGAAAAATCATCTCCATATGAAACGACTTTATAGGGTTTCAGATGAGGCATGAGATTACAAATTGATAAGCATTTGAATGACTTCACAAAGTTGTTAATTGGAAGATCTTTTGAATCTGGATGAGGAGGTTGAAGATGAAGATAAGGCTCTCCTTTTGCTGAATTTGCTCCCGGATGAATACAAAAACTTCACTATGGCACTCATTTATGGGAATGAGGTCTTAAACTATGGTAAGGTGACTACTGCATTGCTGAATCAGTTCCAACGCCAGGACAAGGAGCTACAAAGATAGATTCAACAAGCTGAGACTCTCACACTCCAACAAGGAAGATCTGAGAAGAAGAAGAAAAAGGGCGGCAACAAGCAAGGTAGGTCTCGTGGGTGCAGTCTTGAAAAGAATTAATGTACTTTCTGCTTGGAGACTGGTCATTGAAAGAAATATTGCTCAAAGATGAAGGAGGAGGGGAAGAGAGAATCCACTAAGGTTAATATTAGCATGGAAGAGCATGATGAAGATTCAGATGTATCACTATATGTAGTTGCTTAGACTTTGTATTCAGATAGTTAATGCTGGCACTACAGGAAAAACTGCAATTTCCGGCGTCCATTTTTCGTCGGAAACTGACCAAAATCCGCCGGAAATTAGGATTTTCCGTCGGAAGTACGCCGGAAATATTCCGTCGGAAATTCGTCGGAAAATCCGTCGGAATTTCTGACGAACTTTATTTCCGCCGAAAATTCTGTCGGAAATGAGCTGTTTTCCTGTAGTGTGGATTTTGGATACTGGTACTACCTATCACATTTGTCCCACTAGGGAATGGTTCAGTACTTACATGTAGCTTGATAATAACGTTGTGACCATGAGAAATGTTCAAGCCTATCGTACAGTTAATGTAGGGAGCATCTCTATCAAAATGCATGATGGTATTGTGCGAGAGCTGACTGATGTGGGAAATATTTCAGATATCAGGAATAATTTGTTATTTGTTGGCTATAGAGATCAAGGGCTATAGGGTAATTATAAAGGTTGGAATTTTGAAGATATATTATGGAGCATTTATTTTTCTGAAAGAATTTCATCACCACAACCTTTATTATCTTCAGGGAAGAACAATGATTGGAACGACAACTATTGCTGATGATTCTTTTTACACCGTTATATTGTGGCATATGCGGCTAGCTCATGCTGAAGAGGCTTCTCTTATGACTTTGGTGAAGCAAGCATTGATCAAAGAAGCAAGTACACTGCAGAAGTTGGAATTTGATGTAACTCTATTTGCTCCACATAGACATATCATTTTTACACAGGTACCTGATTCACCTGTAGATCAGGAGGAAGATGATGATGTTGAGGATAAGATTCCTGCTTAGGAATCTATTGTGGAGAACAAGTTTAGGAGTTAGAATGTCCCAAAACTAACTTGGTTAAGGGATCACATTACATTTGTACTTTCAGTCACGAAGGCTGAAGTTCCTAATCACTACAAGAAAGTAGTGGACAATCCTGATTGTGATATATGGAAGAGGGCTATTGAGTGTAAATGGATGTGTGCAAACAAGGAA